GAGTGGCTGTCCAGGCCCTGATCCAGCATGTCTCGGGGAAGGAACTCTGCCCAAAGGCAATGCATTCTAACTTTAAAGGACTTTATTAAGACTGTGCTTCACATTGAACTTAAACTTCATGTCCCTTTAGCATCCACATAATGACCTTAGTTTGCTCCCCAAAGCCAATCGGAACAGGCCTAATTGCAAGGAAGCGACTGAGCACAGCAGAGCACCGGTGCTCCTGCAACAGGCTGTGGCTGTGGGCAAGTGAACTCCCCTCAGACTAAAATTTAAAAAGAAAAACAGAAGATAAGAGCACCTCCCTGAGGATGAGAAGGGTGTGCAGGACACGAAACCCTGGGCACAGAGTAATGTCCATTCCCATCCTTTCTTCTTCCGCATGGCAATCCCGCAAATATTTCAAAATACCTGTCGTGCTGCCTCTAAACCCGGACTAAACGTGCACAACCCCCTTGGTTGTGCTCTTAGGATACATTTTCAAGGCACTTTCCCATCCAGAATTCACTTGTTTATCAATGTGGCTTCCTCTATTCCTTTTGCTATTTCTAGTTTTTTTATCGTCCATTCAAAACCACTATTTGGGGACAGACCATGCCAAAGGCACCCTCCATGTGAGCCAGGAAAGCGAGGTGCCGAGGAGACCCCTCCCAGGGAGAACTCCCCATGGAAGGGCGGTGCCAACTGCACCCCAACGGTCATGCAGAGGGAGCCGAGCGAACTTCTGGAGCCTGTTCAGCCAACCAGCTCCGACCATCACGTTAGGGGGTGGCTGGCCTCCCTTCGCAGCTGGCCCACCAGAGAATCCTCGGGGAGCATGGCTCCCTCCATGCCTCTCCTCACGAGGGCTAAGGAGACACTGGCTGGAGCCAGCAGAAGACTAGGCGGTGCCGGGGCGCTAGACCAGGGCGGCTCTGCACAGCTACCAGCTCCTGTGCTTGGCAACCAGCCCTGCCTGCCAAGAGGGCGTCTGAGGATGTTTTCTTCCCTTGGCTTCCCTAATTCCTTTCTAATCCTCAGACCTAGTCCCTTTCCCTATAAAACTCCCTGTGCTGCAGGGATATCACTGAGGCTATGCTGTGACCCACCCTTCCCCAAGTCCCCAAGAGCACGATGCCCTCCTAGGGTGACTCGGGTCTCTCAGGGGCCATTTGATCCCCTGTGAAGGCCAGTCCCACCTCTCAGCCCTCTTGACTTGGTAGAGTCCCCCAAACACCACTCCTGGCAGCTAGTCTGTGCGTGGGGCTCTCTGTCTGGGAACTCTCCACCCCTTACACGCTCCAGATGCACCGTCCAGCCTTGCTAGAAAGTGCCTCCTCCTCTAGTTCTCGCCAGAAGAGGACAGTGGCCCCATGCTGCCTGCCACTCCACACTGTGGCTCCCCGCCCCAGGTCAGCCTTACAACACTCCTACCTGCATCCTACCTGCATCGGGACAACGTAGGGTGCAAACAACATAACACCCATGTAAAAGCAGCTTAAAACAAATGGGTTTATTACTTCACTTCAGAAGACGTCATGAAGCAGGAGGCTCAGGGTTGGTTCAGCAGCTCAGCAGCATCCCCAGGATCTGGGTCATTCCATCTGTCTGCTCCACCAGCCTCAGCATCTTGGCTTCCATCTTCACTTTCCCCTCATGGTCACAGAGTGGCTGCCAAGCTCCAGGTATTACCACCTAACATTGCATGTCCAAAAGACAAGAAGCATACTCACTCGTCACCTATCTCTTTCTATTGGCAACAAAAACCTTTCCCAACGCTCCCAGCAGACATGCCCTCAAATCTCATTGGCAGGAACAGGGTCACATGCCCACCACCCACCCTGGCACCCACAGCAAAGGAGAATGGAACCAGACAATTGGCAGGGTCCCTGTGATGAACTCATTGATCCTGACACCTGAAAAACTAGGGGATCTGTTAGCAAGACAGAGGGGAGAATGGCTCCGGGGTAGGAGGCAAGCAGTGTCTGCACACTTCCTTCCTGGCCCACTAGCGTCCCTGCTCCAGGACAAGCTCTGCACACATCCTTCCCGACCTGCTGGCTTCCCTGCTCCAGGACAAGAAGCCTGGGTCAGAGGCCAGCAGGCTTTGCTGCCCGGGTGGGTGAGGAATGCTCCGCTGTGGCCCAGATGACTTCAGGTGTCTCAATGAAGGCTGGTCACACTATGGCATGTAGGGCCACAAAGGCGACCAGACACACACACAACCAGTGGGTATACTTCTTGTGTGTCTGTCTGTTGACACTTAAGTAGACTCAGTAGTACACTCTGCAATGACAAAGGGGTCTTTCTTGGAACGTGCTCAGCCAGGGATAAGCTACGAAATACATATAATAGCACACGCTTAGAAGAGTGCTGGACTTCAGAGCATTCATTTCTTCATCGTCAGGGCTTTCATACCTTTGGCCATCAGGGAAAGTACTTTGGCAGAGGGATGGCACCCAGCTGCATGGCTTAAATGTCAAGAATTGTGCATTTCTTCTCTTCTGTGTGGCTATGGCTTGTCATAGTGTACACCGTTTCCCAGCCACGGCCTCTGGAAGAGAGTCTCTTCTGAAATCTTTTAAACTTGGTTTCACGTACACTTGGTGGAGCTAAGTATTTGAGGGAGTGTGAACACCAGAAGCGACTGAGGGTCTGACAGGGCCACCTGGGACAGACGGGCTTGTGTTGGTGGGATCCTGCTTTTGGAAGAAGATGCATTCAGAGGGCAGCTCGCTTAAGCCACTGGCCTGAGTATTGACAGAAACCCCCATTTCTATTCACCCCGGGTCCTGTTAGGCTACATCACTCTAAACTATCTTTACATAGTTCTATAGTTCTTTTTAATTTTAAATTTTATTAAGTTAGCACTGGCCCCTGATTTCAGTCTGCACATACATTTATAAATCTGTATGACAGCTAACAATAGTAGCTCTCATTCCCAGACTTGTGTCATGTGCAAATTTGATCAATGTCCTTAACCTAATAACTGATAAAAATTCAAATCAGCCAGAGAGGCCACAATAACTTCTATAGGAAAATCCTTATTGTACAGTTTAATTAACAAGCCACAATTTTAAAAAGCAATTAAAGATCTTGCAGACCCAATGAATCACAACACTTCTATGAAATGGTTCGTCTTACTCTGAGGTTGCAGGACCAAGCATCACTGAATTCTTGAGAAACTAAAGGAGATACTCCAAAAATGGTAAGTTACTAATAACTCCACACATAGCTTGATGCCTCTACAAATCCACCAGGAACACGTCTAGAAAGTTGCTGAATCCCTCCAAAGTTCCACAAAACCCTCCCCTACCACCGCATCTGCATGGCAAGGAGCTCCCGCAGGTCGCTCTCCAAGTGTGCGCAGACAGGTCACAGGCAGAACTGGCTACGGCGGAAGGTGACGGTGAGAAGCACACACCAAGAACTGCCCTCCCACCAAAACTACACACCACGGGGGAGAACCCGTGCTTCATAAGGAGAGGAGGGGCTGGTGGGACACAAACAGATGGCAGCCACCCAAAGCCTGGAGATGTCTGCAACGGCCCACCCCCGCTCCCAAACACACACAGCCGCCCCCTGTGCTATCACACCGTCCATTTCTCTCGCACACTAAGACTGGCTTACTTGTTTGTCTCCCGCTTCCAGAATATGAGTTCCAGGAGGCTGGGGGCTTTGCAAGTCTGTTCATCGTGGAATCACACAGCAGATACTCAAGACATATTTGTTGAATGAATGGATGAACATGTCCCCAGATGGTTCTCATTTAAATGAAAATTATCAAATTGATCGTATTTTTATAAGTTTAAAGATGTGACCACCTTACTTTATTAAATCCCCATTGAGACAGCTGGGTATTTAAGTTATAGGTGTGTGACTAGGAGTTCCATTTCTCTCCGAGATAAGCAGGGACTATTCAAACCACCATTCAATATTCTTTTTTCAGATATATGAAACATGTCTACTCACATTCAAAGGTTTTCCTCAATCTGTCATTCATTTAAATCAATCCAGTCTCTTCTCATAAATGAGAAATATTAAATTAATGGCTGTTCTCATAAAATAGTGACTAGCAGAAATATCTGCAACTTCCATGAATAATCTTTTCCTTGGAGCGTGAGATAACAAATACCATTTACAGACCAAAGACCACGTGCTGTGGGTTTAACAAATGGGTCTCTGGTCCCATGCTCAGTTATCACTACCCCAGCCGCAGGGACACTCAGGAAGCCCAGGCTCACAGACGCTAAGTCACAGGTCCACAGCTTCCTGCTGATGACAACACAGGGACTGGAACCCAGGTCAGCCTATGCCAAAGCTCACGATCACTTATTTTGCTATTAATCATTACCAACTCCCCCACTATTATCATGTATCTTCTCTGAATATCACATTTCATTAAATCTAAGATGCTATCAATTGTAGTTGACATATACATACGCGATGTACAACACTGCCAATTAAAGCTATCGAACACCTTCCATTGGAAGATATGTCACAGTTTCAGAAAATGTTAAAATGTATATACATATATACACACACCTTTACACACGTGTATATACATGTATATATATACATCTTAGATTCAATAAAACATAGCAATCTAGCCTTGGAACAAATTATTCCTAACAAATGTTACAAAGTATAAATGCCTCTCTGAACCCTTCAAAAAATTAATTTTGCCATGAAATGCAAAAAAGAAAGAAAGAAAACTTATATATGAATAAAGTTATAGGAAACTGCAAGCATTTGTTAATATGAATACGTTACTCTCTTTAAAAATCACTCCTCCTCATCTGTGGCATTAAACCATACCGTTTATAATGGGAAGAGCTGTAGACATCTTTCCTACCCATGAACATGACCATCATGCCTTCATATTTTCATGCAACCAAATGCATGAAAAGGCAGTGAGCATGTTTTTTTAGAGTAAACCATTAAAAGTGAATTTTAAATTTAACTGTTTTTCTTCTGTTTGTTTTCTCCTAAAGTTAAGGGAAGTAACAGTAATTCCTCACTCTATACGAAAGAAAAATATGCTCTGTTGCTAAAGACACAGCTGCTGCGAGTCTCCACAAAATCAGAGAAGACCCCAATGTTTCAGAAAAGCACTCTCGGTAAAGTTTGTATTTGAATGACCAACTGGAAGTGTGTTGATCTTCAGGTCCTCTTTGCACCTCCTCTAAAAGTCCTCGCGTCATATGCCCACACGGTGTCTATCCCCTCCCCGGTGACGTGGTCTGGGGTCCAGTGCGGGAAAGGGAACCGGCAAGCAATGACTCGCGCATCATCCTCAAGTTCAAGTTCAAGTTTCTTCTCCAACTGCAGCATCTGTGGGGAATAACAGCCATTATTTCAGTGAGCAGTGAGTCAAAGGAAATCATTCTAAAAAGTCCTTCTGTGATTAAGAGTCCTTGAAAATACCAGCATAAAAATTGCTACTTGTTAAAAAGATCACTTCGGTGCACAAACACATTATCAAACAAGCCATTCCAATGCAGAAGACACATTAACCACAGCCATAAGAACATCTTCCAGTATCAATTATAAAATGTGCCATTTTTAGCAGATGTGCATCATAGATTTTCAGTTTTCTGACTAAAATCACGATGTGGCAGTCATTAAAATAAGAAACAGCTTTAAATTATTTACCTACTGAAACATTTCAATATAACCAGTCTCATATATTTCAGACATATTTTTCCACATTTTTAACATCCCTGAAATCAGATATATCATACAATTGACATTGTCTTAGAATTATAATTAGCAATATTTTTTTTCTTTCTTAATGGCAATGATGAATCTTAAAATCAACATCATCTAAAATCAATGAAATATGGTATAATTAGGCCATGAAAAAATATACACATTCTATCAACTTGAAATATGATGAAATATTTCATAATTTTTAAAAAATGTACCCATAATATGCTGATAATGATTTTTTTTTTAATTTTTGTAGAGACAGGGGTCTCGCTATAATGCCCAGGCTGGTCTCGAACTCCTGGCCTCAAGCAATCCTCCTGCCTTGGCCTCCCAAAGTGCTGAGACTACAGGCATGAGCCACCATGCCCACCCCCTGATAATGAATTTCTTGATCGTCAACCTAACTTATATCACTTTTGTATTAATATATCATTCTATTACCAATCTACCAATAGAGAAAGAGTTTTTATTGTTTGCTAATCACCTGCTTAAAAATTTATCTGCAGGTCCTAAAAATATATTTACCACCTTCATATCCTAAAAATATTTTTTTTTCCACTTTCTTCCTTTAACGTGTTACTCTGAGATAATTTCAAAACTACAGAAAAGTTACAAGAATAGAACAATGAACTTCTGTATGCCCTTACCAGGTTCACCAATTTTTACCATTTTTTCACATTGCTCGCTCCTTTCTCTGGGAACATTTTTTCTAAACCATTTGAGGAGAGGTTGCACACAATATGCTCCTTCACCCCTTAATACTTCAGTGTGTATTTTCTAAGAAAAAAACACTCTCTAACATGATCCCAGCACACGTATCTCATTCAGAAAATTTAACATTGTATTCCAATAATAAAACTCTAACTTTGTCATTGTCCCAACAATGTCCTGCATAACATTTTCCCAGGGCAGGATCCAGTCCAGGATCACTTTTACATTTAGCTGTGACATCTCTTTGTTCTCCTTTGATCCGGAACAGTTCCTCAATCTGCCTTTGTCTTTCACGACAATAGCACTCCTCCGTTATCGGACCAAGCGGCCCTCAGCTTGGATGCTCTGACGTTCTTTCTCACTCATTCCAGCGTGTCTTGGCAACACCCCATCTGCAAAGCTGTGAATTTACCAGGCTCCACAGAGGCCCAGGAGGTCCTTTTGCTCTTGATGGTGACATGAGCTACTCAGAAAAGGTGGAATCTGGTGTCTCCACAGTGCAGTTACTAGTTTTCCTTTTATAAGCAGTAGTTTGTGGGGAGAGAGTTTGAGATGATGTAAACATCCTATTACTCATCAGATAGTCCCTGCATTAGAAGTAGCCCTCACTGATGATTCTGGCCACAGTCAGTATTTACTATAATGGTTGCCAAGTGGCAATTTGCTAATCCTATCATTTCTTCCGGATGTGTGGTTGGCATTCCACTGTAAGGACAAGCTTTCCCTTCTTTCTCCTTCTATCTATCTATCTACCTATCATTAAGTATGAACACCTAATTCTTATTTCATTCAATGGTTTATAATCTACTGCCGTCATCATCTATTCTAATGCTCGAATTGTCCTAATCTGGCCACCAGAAGCCTCTTGCAGCTGGCTTCTCTGGCCTTTAGACACTCTCCCATCAAACATTTTGAGCACTTCCTTACATTCTGGCTCCACAAAACATTCCAGGCTTTTGTATCTTCCCTTTCCCAGCCCTGGGTCAGCCATTTCTTAAAAATTCCTGGTTCTACTTACTGAGAAATGATATTTAGAAACCAAGATCTAAGCAAAAACTACTCTTTTGAAAAGTAACCAATTAAAGCAAGATGAACAAATCAATAGTGCTTCTATGAAGGTTTTCTTTTTGACCTATATGTTATAAAAGTGCTTAGAAAAACTCAACACAACCTGTGCTAGAGTGAGCCAAAATTCTAATTCTTCATTAGAATCAATACCAAGATAACAAAGATAAATTTCATTAAGGATGGAAGATTTCTATTCTTTTAACAGCCAGTAAAGGATTTAAAAAAAAAAAAAAAAAGTTTTGTTCCTTGAGGGGAAAATTAAATAAGCAAAGAATGAGACAATATGCATTTTTCCAAAATATCAGAGATTTCTTATGGTAATTTTGTTCATAAAAAGGATAATTGTAAACTTATTCATATCACTATTATTCTCTTCTCATTTACAGTTTCTTTTATTTCCAAATGATTGTCATATGCTAAGTCAAGATAAACCTAGAAATGAAAGGAGCTATTTCAATCATAAGAAATTAACTGACTAAATCACACATAAATATGCAACAAATCTGGTCCTTGATATCATACACAAAGAGAAGCAGTGATATGTCCCGTCTAATGGAATTCAGAATTATTCATACAATTATAGGCTTCAAAGTAACGTGAACTCACCATATTCTAATTATATCTGCGAAACTTTAAACGTAAGTAGAAACCAGCTCAAAGGCATAAGAGGACTCAGCCGTGCCCCCAGCAGCCTCAACCCACTAGACCACCCTGAACACTTGCTTGACTTGGCTACTTGGCTGACTCACCCCAGCACTCCCCCCTCCCAGGCTCCTCTCTCGGTGTCCTTGCTGGTTGCCCTCATTTCCCAGACCCCCGGTGTCAGAGTCGGGGGCCCAGGCCTGGGACGGCTCCGCTTCTGTGCCCCCCCCAGGGGATCACAGCCACCTGTGGGCAGATGCCTAACAAACCTACATCTCCAGCCACCACCCCTGCCCGACCCCCAGACTCCTCCTTACCCACGACCGCCAGCTTGACATGTCCACGCACACCCAAAGTCCCCGCACCCAGGCTGAACGTCCCCACCCGGCTCTGCCTGCACCTTCCCCAGCGTGGTTCACAGCAATGCCAAACTTCGGTAGCTCGGGCCAAACACCCTGGGGTCTCCCATGATCCCTCTTTGTCTCTCTTCCCCACGCTGGATCTGCCCACTAATCCTGTTCATTCTATCTTCACGATGCATCCAGAATTTGACCCTTCCCAGCAGCCACTGCATTGCCCGGACACCTGCAAGAGCCCACAGCTGTGTCCCAGCTTCGGCCCACGTTTGCCTTCAGTCCAGTCTCCACGAGGCAGCCTGTGCTCCTTCTCAACCCCAGCGGGTCCCCGCCATCCTCTCTGCTCACCCCAGGCCCCTGCCATCCAAGCACCAGCGTCCTTCTCGCCCCAGCCCTGTATCTCCTCTGAGCTCCCCTCACTCACGCCACACCCCTGCTTGCTGCTCTCATCCCAGCAAGCACACCTTCCCTCACCCCCAAACATCACCTTTTCGGGGATACCGTCCCTGCCCCGTCACTCCCTTGCTTTCATTTGCTCCATAGCCTTTCGCCTCTGTTGGACACTACATTGCCTACGGGTGTCTCATTTAACATCTCTCTCCCCACCAGCGTATGAGCACCTCAGGGTGGGGACAGACTCTGTTTCATTCGCTAAAGTATTCCAGGTGCTGAGAGCAGGGCCTGGCCATAGTGGCCACGGTTAACAAATGAATGAAGGAAGGAAGGATAAATGATTCGGTCATGAATCATTTTTCTTTATCAGAACATAAGGATGATATTTTCATTCTTCAATTCATAACAGAATTTGAAAGCAAAATTAGTCATTCTTTGAAATTATGAAAGTTAAGGCCGGGCGCGGTGGCTCACGCCTGTAATCCTAGCTCTCTGGGAGGCCGAGG